GGCGAGTATTTTCAGAGGATCAATCAAAGACTTCAGAAACTCTCAGTGGTCCTTCTGAAATATCGCCCTCATACTCCCTAGGTTTATAGTGTTTTACTCATCGCAATCCAGGATTTTACTTAATGATGACAGTAATGCACATTTGGATCATCACTAGAATCAGAAACTCTAATCTGTGTATCACACAAAACTTGTTATTTACCTAATTTAACATTTTGCGTTGTCTCCATGTTGCAGAACCTATAAGATTTAAATTTTTTGGTTGTTTTATCAGTTGATTTAGTTTTCTCTCTTTTCGTCAAAGATTTCACAGCTTCATTGCTATAAAATAGACGTGAATGAGAAGGTACAGCTACTATATAATCAGGACGTTAATGATTTAATTGATCTGAGCTAATGTGAACACACGATGGCGCCTGTAAGACAATGAAACATTTAAGACAATGATACATTTCTGGTTAGCTTGTTAACTTTAAATGTAATCACTCTTGTGTGTCGTCTTTCTCGGCGCGGACTGTTTCGAACAGCGCATCTCGTTCAGATTCTAGTCAAGTGCAAAGGTGTTGCATAATAGTAGATATAGTATATCTCTTACAGGTTGTTCTGCACTGAAACTTGGCTTTATCGAATGTCCAAGAATTCTATATTGTACATACTGTACATACAAGATTAAAATTTCTTCTTTATCACAACAACCAAAAGTGTATTGTGATGATTTTGTGGTCTTTCACATCTTTTCATCATTCTGTAACACATTAATTATATAATATATACCTAATGTTTCATCTGTCTCATCCTAAATTCTTCCATCTGTCATAATGATTCCTGAATTTTTATCATGGTTCACTGTCCTCTCGTACTCATTAATTAGCCATCGATAATAAGCTCATCATTCGCTCAAGTTGGCCCCCAAAAAGATTATGCATCATGCAATTATGCATATTATTATGTGATTTAGTTGTTAGTGAAAACAACTGGATTGTGACTGTGTTATTCGGAGCTTGAAAAGAACCAAATCTTGTTTCACAGCAATAAAGTGGTAAAGACTGAATTTGAGACATGAAGAAACATTTTGCTATGAACACAGAGATGCCTTTAAAGTTTTACGTCTCTGGTTTTTCATGATTTGTGTGATTTTTTGGTCCGTAATTAAAAACGAGTTTAAGAGTTTGTGACTGATGTGAAAATAAACTGAATTTCTCGAATGAGGTAATGCATCGTGCACTTTTTGAACAAGACAGCTGGACAGAGGAGTTTGACCTTAATACATTCTCGATTACTGTACATAGCCAATGCTGTCAGGATTTAATATTCATAAAAATAGGACGCAAGGATCATGTCTTAATATTTGTTTTTGAAACTCCACTGTGAGCCTGTGCTCACTTCCATACTTCTACTTCCATACAGGGCATTACAAATGCATTAGAGCACATCCTGATGCAACAAAGACTCAAAGAGGAAGATTGCATGTGTCCAAAACATAAAACATGAAGCAAAATGAGATAAGGCAACTTGCATGAATGCTGTGTAGCATCAGTATACTGTACATAAATGAAATGTACTATTATTACTTACTAGGATTAATGAATATAATAATCCATAACAATTCCCTCAAAATGTGCACATGCAATAGACACAATGTACTAGTAAACCTAATGTAAGGGTCCAGTGTGTAGGATTTAGTCGTATCTAGCAGTGAAGTTGCAGATTCCAACTCTGTCTCTTCAGCCTCCCCTTCCAAGCACAAAGGAGAAACTACAGTGGCCTATATAGAGCCAGTATTTGGTTTGTCCCTTCTGGGCTACTGTTGAAACATGGTGGTTCAGCATGGCAGCTGCCATGGAAGGATTCATGGTCAGTAGATAAAAAAAAGGTTAATTCTAAAGTAACAAAAATACAAAGATTCCTGTATTCAGGTGATTTTACAATAATGAAATAGAAATGTGAATTGAATATTCCATTTCTGCCAATAGATCCTCCTAAATGTTACACACTGGACCTTTAAAGTTAAAAAATAAAAAATAATTAACTCTGTTTCACATTTTCAACATCAAGCTGAACTTTTATGCTTAAATGGATGAAAAGTCCAGTTGTCAGAATAATGAAGAGTTATTTTTGGGAGTCTATCATGTTTGGATTATCTTTGATTGTTTTTAATGTGTATTGTTTGATTGTGTGTAAAAATGATAAAGTTAATCAAATTCAATTAAATCTGAACATTTACAGTCCCATTAAAACTAAACAAACGTGTTGTTACAGCCTGTTGTAAAAGCGAGGTCATTCAGGATGGCTTTGCAGAGTCATTCATTTGGGCACATACATACTGAGTAAGCAATTTTTGAACCATAAATATAAATTTTGACACAAATCTAGATTTAGAACATGTCATATTTTTCACTTCACCTGTTGTTTCCAGGCCACTTTCTCATCTTTTCATCTCACAGTTCAGTAAGCCTTACTGATTTACCCCATTTGATCTACCTGAGCGGCCATTCTGCACGCCCTGCAGTCCACCATGAGAGAGATTGTTTCACTGCAGATGCAGATGTTTCAGCAGCTCCATTAAGAAACTGCTCACATGTTTAAATTGTTGCTGCTGTTGCTGTTGCTATCTATAGAAACTGAGACAATCACAAACACTTTGCTATTTCAGTGTCTGCCCATTTTCCTGTTCTGGGTCTGTGTAATGACACGCAGCAGGCCGTCACTGCAGGTTGCTGCTCCAACATACTTGAGTATGGCACCACCTGTTGGTTTATCAGAGTAACATCCAGTTAATGACGAGCTTATGCTATAACAGTCCAGTAGTTACATCCTCTCACCCAGTGAGAAACATATAAGTGAACAAAGCTTAAAATAAATCAGGGGAATGAAGTTCACACCTGCTGAAGTGTCTGAAATAAAATCTCTGTCCACCGTTCAAATTAAGTTTGATTCCTTCTCCAAAAGCAGGACTAGAGTAGTATTTCTACTGTGTAAAAACTCAGATTAAAGCAGCAATAATAAATATTGTTGAATTAAAATAAAATTATCACCCAATTTTCCACTTACCTGCAGCTCTACAGAGCTTTATATAATCCTGCACGTCATATTTGCTGAAACATTCACTATATCCTGACAGTAGTGGATGAGACCATGAGACAGATTATCTGCTCCTAAAGGCATTTGCAGGAATCCACTGCACCTGGACAAAAACAACCAGTCAGAGCCAAAAGAAAGAAAGTTGATTGCTGAGTCTCATTCTCAGATGGTGAAATACCAAAAGCTACCTGGTGCAGCTGTAAGTCAGAACCTCACCTTTGGTCTATGGAGCAGATGCTCAGATATTCAACATATCTTTATAGATATATCTTGAATGGGAGCAATGTTCCTTTAGGGTTTAAACTGTTAAAGGAAACATGCTGTGATGTTCCTGCATGTATTAATAAAAGTATGAGACACAAATCGACTTATTAAAACAATTCAATTCAAACAACCTGTTGTTTCACATTGCTGATATGACAAAGTTGTAGTCTTTCAAAACAGAGAAACTAGCAATGCTTGTCTGGATTGTTTGAAGACCTGGAACTACTCTCACAACAAATGCATTTAGTAGAAAATTGAGTGTTTGTGAAGGAGCGATTATGTGAACTGTGAGTGTGAGAGGTGTGAAGCAGGAAGGAGACACCTTCCAGTTGTTGGTTTGTTTGCATGTGTTTCACTCAGCTCAGAAAACCAACAGAGGAACTGCAAACAAAAGAAGAACAAACTCTATTCTGTGTAAATGTTTTGGTGAATCCCTCCAGTGACAGTAATGACGTCCACTTTCTTATGTCCAAATTCACACAAACAGTTTAGCTCTCAAAGAAGAGTCAAAGATTTCTCTGTCAACTTTAATTATGAGTGTTTGGTCTTGGAGAGACACAAATTAAAGTCAACTGGGTTGCAGAATTTTTTTTTTTTTAGCATCATGTGATTTCCTTGCACTTCTTGCTCAGTGGAACCTAAATACACAAAAGCACATTGTGTTCTCATGCATATGTAGACGTAGTATCACCTACAAGCATGCTCCTTCAATTGCGGTAAGGCCAAGGTCAGTGGCTTTTTGCACATGCAGCAGTTCTTTAGGTTAGAGTAAAGCAGAATTTATACTTCATCAGGGTGTTTGCAGGAAGTGTTAACACTTCAACTATTCCCTTGAAATAGCGCACAGTATATTGGGGGTTTTGTGGTGAATCAGGTGGTCTTTCAGTAATGACTATTTGCAGTTTTCCATTGAACTCACCAGCTCACGCTACTATGAATGAAATGAATGCAACTTCATCAGAAATGTTGTATTACATCTCTGGAGCAAGTTTTAAGTCCCTGAAAGTTAATCTCATAAAACAAGATGATGCTTTAAACACTGCAGTGTAGTTTTGGAAATCATTGCCAGTACTGTGAAGTCATGGTTTCTTGTAGGTATGATGACTGAAACATGCAACAAAACAAAAGTTATTTCAAGAGCAAGAGAAAAGGTGATTTGAGTAATCACGATTGAAGCCAACCACCACTAGAACAAGAAACTGTCTGATTCCCAAAGTTTGCTTCTGCCCATGAAATTACTCAAGGTCATTTGGTGTTTTTGACTTTACTTTACGCTTGATAATAATCAAAACTTCCCAACAAAAGACAGGGATTACACTAATTTATTTTTATGTAAATTAATGATGAGGAGCCCCTATTAACTACTTTATGTTAATTCCAATTTGCATTTCACACCTGCCATGCATAAGAAATGTCATATTACTTTGCACTGATATGGATTAATGTTACATTTTCTGTGTGTTACAGATTTTGAAGGGCATGGGAGAAAGTTCCTGGTAATAAAGCGTTTTGCTTTGAAAGGCTTGTACATGATACACGATGGGTACAACATAGAAAAATGCATTGTTTGACTTTTGCAAGTAACAGTCTTGTGGTAAATTAACTGCTGATACATGTTGAGAAGCAAATAACAGTATAAAAAGCCACAGAAGGAGCGGCTGAAAACAACCATGAGTCCTGCCTTCAGCATCGCTCTTCTCCTGCTCTCCACAAGTAAGACAGTAACATTATTTCCCCCATTTGCCTGATAATAAAATAATTAAACATAATCATTTTCAGCTGTTGTTAAGACTGTGGAGGACTGGACTGAAGAGGAGGAAGATTTTCCATCCCAGTTGAAGGGGGAGACAGCTGACCATCATGCAGAGGAGGTGAGATACCATGACACATAAACATGTGAAGCATTTAGTTTGTGTGAAGGAAAACATCATTCATAAGACTTCTGTATCAGATACTGCAAGCTGAAGATCTCTGTAGTAGCTGTAAGTCGCTTGTCTCCCAGGTGAAGAAGAAGATGGACGATAACACCTCTAAGGTACAAAATATAATCTAGTATCACAATGAACATTCAGAGCCTTTCCACAGCCATTGAGCCTCTTTAACAACTAACAACATTCATTTTCACTCTTTGTTTTCACTCACACTTTAATTTAGTTGGAGCACCCAAAAAGTGATGGTAGAAAAGCTTTAGTATTTTAGCAGGTTTTGTGGATATAATTCATAATTTGGTATTTGGGGGGCAATAGTAAAGGTTTATGTTCCTTAAGAATAACAATTATTATAAATATTGTGTAAGTGATGCTGTTTAGGACCCTCAGTCCTCTAGATCTGAATCAGTTGTGTGTCAAATGATTACATTTGTAGGATAAAGTTGCAAAGCTGATGGACAATGTCTGCAGTCAAGAGAAGAATGAACAGGTGAAGGAGGTCTGCAAGAAGATCACTGGAAAGATCAAAGACAAACTGAGTGAGACCATTGCCAACAAGGCAGATCCAGAATCTGCGTGTAAAAAAGTAAAACTCTGCCAGAAAAAGCCTCCCCATACACTGTAGTAAAAGGACTGAAGTGTACCAGTGATGTTTCATTTGAAACATCATTGTGCATGTTGCCCTGTTCTTGCCTTTGCAATAAAGATTTGAAGCCATTTATTTCCATATCCATGCAGTGTTTATTTATCACAACATACATATGACTTTAAAGACATTTAAAGTAACTTCAGGCTAATGAAATGGAAGCTAAATTAGAAACCTACAAATAAAACAACAAAGTATAAAAAATTAAGTACCCATTCTATATTTAAAACAACTGTAACTTGGTAAATCTGCAACGGACTATCAATATATTGAACAGGGTATAATGGAGCTCAAAACCTTTTTTCAATAAACTCCAGGGGTATGAGCTCAAGTCAGAACTTCAAGCAGCAGGTTCCCATGTAGATTTTTTAACATACATTTATATTTACAGTTGATTGGAAACAATATACTTTTTAGGGTTTAATTGTCAAAAGGAACAGAGGATGTTCCAGGTGTTTATATATAAGAACGTAACTCACAGTACACATCAATACTTCTGGCAATTGATTTTAGATATCAGATGATGTAATGAATATAAATCACTGGCTACAAAGAAAGACAAAATAAAATGAAGTCTAACCCCAATACTATTGTCATCACAGTTTCTCACTGCACCTCACTTGCAGAATACTTTTGTGCACACAACCACCAAAAACCAGTTGCCAGTGAGCTCACAACAGCTCACAACAAGTGCATTTGACTTCACTCTGGACCACTGAATCACAGATACAGCCCACAGTCTGAGCTTTTTTACTGTCATGCCTCTTGAAATGTGTAATAAGTTCTTGTGGTCATTCATCATTACCATACTTACAAGACTGTGTGGATGTCTGGAAAAAAGTCGCATGAGTTTGCATTTGTGTTCTTCTCTTTCCAAACAGTGTCTTTGGATTCTAGGTACTAAACTGGGATTTTAAAGAGTACATTATCACTTCAGCTTGAGAATGCAACAACACATACTGTGTACGCTGACTCATATGGTGATGTATGTAGAGTTGAGTAAGATATTATTTGTAAAGTAACTGCATTATTGAGGTATAAAATAAAACATATCTGCATGTGTTTCCAAAAAAAGAAGATTTTACCTACGGGTTTTGTAACACATTTTTAAAAATGCAGCAGTTTGCAGTTTGGCTTTTGCAAGCTCCACTTCACTTGTGGCAAGTAAGGTGATGATCCATGCATTTGAGAAACAAATAGCAGAAGCTATAAAACAGCATAAAAAGCCACCAAAAGAGCAGCTGAAGACAGCTCTGATGAAACAGCGAGCACAAACATGAGTCCCGCCATCAGCATTGCACTTCTCCTGCTCTCCGCAAGTAAGAAAGCAACATTATTTACTCAATCTTCCCTTTTAATTCAAGTATTTTCTGAACCCTAATTTTCTTTCAGCTGTTGTCAAGTCGTGGACATCTCTGGAGGTCAAAACTGAAGGGGATGATTTTCCACCTCAGTTAAAACATGATGTGAGGGAGGGAGCAGACCACCAAACAGAGGAGGTGAGAAACTATGACACACACAGAACCTGATGAATTTTAAGTTGAAACATCAGCCCTTTACCTTTATTTAGACATGCTGTGTGAACATGCCTTTTTATGACTGACTCATCAACAGGTTTATTTACATTAAAACATTTTATTTTCTTTCTTATTTTGTATGTAAAAGCTTTTATTAAACCCGATATTGCAGAATAGAGTTTTCCCGGGTTCCTGTACTGCCTGTAAGTTCATTGTGTCCAAAGTAAAGAAGCATCTGGGCAGCGATCATTCAAAGGTAATGAATACAAAATATACTTTAAAATAATATACTATATTCAGACCCTGACTGAGCCTCCCAGAACAAGTTAAAAATATGAACTCTCACTGGGCTCTTGTGTTCACATTACCCTATAACTGAATTATTGAATTACCCCGCAGAATTTAAAATGTATAAATATCGAGTGATAATCAGTCAAAATATTGTCATAGAAGTGATCAAGATTGTAAAAAATATAGTTTTATTAGTTATATACACAAATGCAGCAGAACAAATAACAAAATAAAACTATAATACAGTCTGTTTAGATGTGAATTTGTTGCAATTAATGCATTTTTCATGGAAAGTCTATATATGCCTGTAAATCACTAAAAATATTCCTTCAAAGTTGTAGAATCTTTTTTCTTTTAGAAATAAATGAGCACTGAATGAATTATGACATATGAATAAATGATCCAAGAAGCAGTGTCTACAGGAAAGATATTAGTGAGAACAGACTTTGTTTTAGTTTACATTTTCTGGTGGGTTGAAGTTGAAGGTTGAGTTTTAACACTGAGTAATTATAATTTGATCCATTATAGTAATTTCAGTGCAGTTATTTATCTGCCTTTATTTCTTTGTGGAGGACAATCTGAGTAGTGCATACCATCAGAAGTGTTGATTCTTAGGATTTGCCTATATTTGTACGCTGAATAAGACCAACATCACCATTAATGAGTAAAAAACGCGTGTCAAATATTTCATTTGTGTTTACTTGAAGAACAAAATCAAAGAGCTGCTGAACAGGGCCTGCAATGGAGTGAAAAGAATCCTCAGATCTGCCTGCAAGTCGATCGTCAACAAGTTCCAACAAAAACTGATCAACGCCTTAACAAAGCTCAAGAGTCAACGGGAAATTTGTGTTTATCTGAAACTCTGCAAGAAGAATAAACCTTTATAGATATAACATATAATGCATTTACATCAAGTGTACCAACAATGTTTCTGACTGTTTCTGAGTGCATATTGTTTTTGCCTTTGTAATAAAGCTTTTCTGAAGTGGTTGTATTTCCATGTGCAGTGATGTAATTCTTCTCATACTTTTTGTTTTTTTCTCTCACACAGCTGATAAAAGCGGAGAGAGTTTAATGGGTAAAACCATGAGGTAGAAGTTACAGGAGCTTAGTGGAAACACGGGCTGAAGTTCAGAAGTCATGCTATAGATTATTTTTAAAGCATTTTGAAGAATTACTGGAATGAATTAGTAAAGAAGTAAAACTGTGGCCTAACCTGACAGTAAAGGTCACCAATGTTCAAAGTCCAAGTCTATTCAACGTCAGGCTTATGCTACTGTAGACACATTTACAACATACAAATAAAACCATGACATTTACTCTTGTTTCCCCTTCTTATTCAAAGCTATAAAGTGGTAAATTCATTGTTGTTCATTGAAATAGTCCTGTGGTACACATCAAACACACATTTAGAGCTGCTGGTCGTCTGATTTTGTTACATTTGAACGGAGCCTTATGCTAAGCTAACTGGTTAACCAGCTAGCTTCATATTTACCACACATACATGACAGTGGTATCAATCTTCTCAGTTCTTTTAACTCAAGGTCCACTTACTAGATTTATTCTGGCTGATGATGGGCCAAGAAATTCCGTAAGTGGACCTTTGAGTTAAACCAGCAGCATTGCTCCAGGGGATGGCAATTTCAACCTCTCCATCAGCCCCGTGGATGTATTAAGACAGAGGTCGGTCCTCCATTTTGGTAAAGACTGAAATATCTCAAAATATAGTAGAATTAATTACCATGAAACTTGATTTAAAATTTAGTCAAATCTGTGTTCTTGTGGACAGCACCCACTTTATACCCTTTGGTTTCATACTAAAAACAACCTTCACAACTAAGGACATTCCCCTCAGCCACACGCTTTTGTTTTAGGTGCGAGTAGGCAAATGTTAGCACTTTCAGTGTAAGCCTGGTTAGCATGCTGACATTAGCATTTAGCTCAACTACAGCTGCTACGATGGTGGTAGTTTGTTACACTAATTTGCAATTTGTGTACTCACAACTTAAGGTCACATAGAGGTCACAAACTGGGTGCTTTTCTTGTCTTTAATCAATAGTGACAGCTGAAGAATGACAGGAAAGAGATAGCGGATGACACGCAGCAAAGGGCCACAGGTTGGAGCTGAACCCATGGCTGCTGCAGCAACGACTCCAGCTCCAGCTCCACCTGGTAAGCTACTCAGGCGTCCCATAATGAAATATTCCGACAATATTTGAAACATCAAAATACCGAAAACAACTTTGCATCAAACATTTAAATCCAAATGAGCTTATAGCTGAGGAAAAACCATTGTCCTCGTCTGTTTGAGGGCAACACACGTGAACTGCTTAGTATTGTTTGGTTCAATTTGAAAATAAAGATTTTAATCTTATACACACAGATAACAGAACTTTGCGGCGCAAACTGTGGCTCCAACACCCTGTTTCCTGTGCATTAACTGGAACAGATGGTTAATAACATGAGTAGGTCGTGTGAAGGTGGTCTCCACAAAACCACTTAGTTTCTATACTGTGACCACACTATTTTTGTGGTTTGAATTTCTGTCTGTGGAAGCTTGCAGCAGTGTTGCAGTGTAGCCCCTCAATGCTGTGTATAAAAGGTGTGTGTTACAACAGATGCACATACTCACCGCTCACTGCCAGCAATGGAAACCTCTTCAGTCCTCCTTGTGTGCATCCTGGTCACATGTTCTGGTGAGCTACATCATTTTTGGATTCTATCACAATCCTCTTTATCCTGTAATTTATTATTTATAACTTTTACATGTATTTGTATTTTTTCTCTTCACAGTCTGGACAGTCCATGGGAGAAACTTAAAGGTCAAGACTGATGATCAGGTGGACGTCCAAACCTCTGTGGAGGCCGGCAGGGTAATGTGGCTGCTTTAGTTTAACACTCATATTCAGATATCAGCTGATAAATTGTAAAAGTAAAAGTCCTGCATGCAAAGTCCTTGTAAGTAAAAATGTAGAAGGAGATTTATTTAGAAGTACTTAATCTGTAGAAAGAACTGTCAGTTAGTACTGATTCATGTAAGTAGCATGTAAAATATTGGAGTTTACCTCGTTGGGTATCGAACAGTTATCTAAATCAAATTATCTGATAACTTCAACTAACTAGACGCTGATTTTCTGTCATGAGCTAAAAATATCTGGAACTGGTTTCATCTTTAACAATATGTTTTATTTTATCAAGTATCTGTGTGTGAAATCTTCAGTAACTACATGTGTTTGATAAATGTAGTGGAGTAAAATCTACAATATTCACTGAAATGTAGTTTAGTTCACTGTGCAAAGTACCACAAATATGTGCTTACAACTACATTTTGATGTGTTATAAACCATTTATTAGTTAATATACTGCGTATTTAACATTATCCCACCACATAAAGAGTTTCCATCAGTTAAAGTACCATTTTTTAGGACTCATCCCTCAGTATTTACAGTATATGTCACTTTAACCTTCAGCTTCCAGGTGTGTGCTGGGCGTGCAAGTGGGCTTTAGGTAAGGTGAAGAAAGTCTTGGGACCGAACGCCACTGCAGAGGTAAAATAAAATGTCTAAAAGATTGGTTGTGGAAGGAACTGTGGAAGGAACATTAATGTAATTTCTACTCTTACAGAACACGACTCCAAAGCTGTTGGCCGTCTGCAACGAAATCGGCCTCCTGAAAGCTTTGTGCCGCAAATTTGTGAAGAACCACCTCGGGGTATTAATCGAGGAGCTCACCACCACTGATGATGTGAGGACAATCTGTGTCAACGCTGGAGCCTGCAAGTGAGTCACCAGCTCGCCTTTATATTGTTTAACCAACAATATGACCTAACATTTTTCCACAACATTAATTACTCATGATTTAGCAACAACAATAGAGATAAATGCTATTTCTTTAAACACATATTGCCCAGTTGTATAAGTATTTATATATATATTCTAAATGTAAACATTTGAGGGGATAATATACTTTTTATCTCACTACATTTCTCTATATAGTATGTTTGATTATTTTAGATACAATAGGTTTGTTACATATAATGCATCGTTATAGATCCAATTACCCAACACAATATGAAGTAATAAAATGAGCTACATCTATAGCTCTATGATCATACAATGGTATGTTAAATACAGTACTGGCAGGGGTCATTCTGTGTACTCTGTACGTACTTCTTCCACCACTGATACTCCTTTATTTTAATTAATTTGATCTTTTCCTGCGTTTCTAATGTGCTGTCTTTAGGCCGAAGGAGATGTTGGACCTGCTCTTTTATTCAAGCGGTGAGGATTCACAAACTGAAATGAACGAATATGCCTGGGGTTGAATGCACAGATAATAACCAAACTGCCCTTGATTGACAAGAAAAACGGAACTGCACACTCAGCACATACGAATACGATCAACGAGCGCTTTCACCTTTCTTTTTGTCACTGCATTCACTTTGCAATTTCCCTTGTGCCTTTATTTACTCTGCAATTCCTCTGATGTTCATTTTTATTGCGTATCTGTGCATTAATGATCAATAAACATTTGCATTTCAAATCTTATGATTATTCTTTGTGTCAGTTTAAAATTGCATCTTCACCCCAACTGTTAAAACCTGATAGTGATAAACTGTCTCACTTCAGTTGAGAGACTGACCACTGCTTTGACACTTCAGTTGGTCAGTTGGACATAAAAACTAACAAGATCTAAACATCATACTTTCAGGAAGTCAGATCTTGTTCATGTCAAGTTCAAAATGACCCCAAAAAATATTATTTGAGTAAGCAAAACAAAACTGACAAAAGAATGTTGCTGAGCCAAATCACACATACAAAATCCTTGTGGTTTTTGAGGAGAAGCTTCTTGGAAACGTTTATTTACACTTTTACAAACAACAAGGGCAGCTGCAAAACTACCCCTTGTGGCATCCAGTTTGTGGGTGTAGCTTATAAAGATGGACGGATGGGTCAAATGTAATGTCCAACCAACAGGGAATAGTTCTTTTTTTTTGCTCAATCAGTGATGAAAACAATGCTCAAACTAAAACAAAAAGGTTAGAAAGATGAAGGACGAAGACAGCCACCGTTACCCACAACAGGATGTTGTTGGGCGCTGTTAATACCAGTTCTCACAACATGTTAAAGATAAGACCCTCACTTGCAGTAGTAAATAGGTCATACATACATGTGAGAATGTCTCAGAAGAACAGGCCTATTTAGATCTTTAACTTAAGCAAAAAATACTCCCATGTTAACATTTAAAGTAGCATATAAAAGTATTAGCAACAAACTGTGCTTAAATTATCAAAAGTAAAAGTACTCATTAGGCAGAATGGCTCCTGTCATTGTAATGCTACTGTATCAGAATATTATGTGATTATTATTACTATAACTAACATTAATGTTGTAGCTGGTTGAGGTGGAGCTCATGTTAACTACCATACTTTATATACATTACTATTTGGTAATTCAACCTTTAACAATAGGCTATATAATTTTAGAAATCTGTAGTAACTAAAGCTGCAAGACAAATGTAATGAAGTATAATGTAGAAGTTAGTAAGTAAAGTATATCAAAATTGATCCATGAAGGTGCTTTAAGTCATAAAACCTTCTTGGTGGCTCAGATTCTTGGACATGATTGAAAAGTTCAAGATATTTTCCGAAAATGAACCAACAGTCAGAGGTTGGTGAAATAAACCTCTAAAACCTTCACTAAATGGATTCAAGTAAACACCAAGCAACTGATATTAACCAAAGCCTGTTTTTATATGCATGTGCAGAGTTGTGCCCACATCCTCATCACAGATAAATGTTGGTACCAGAGGTTTCAGTATATAGTCAGTGGTTTTGCTGCACAAAAACATATCTGGTGATATTGTATATTTGTAGCCTTGATTTTAAACATGGTAATATGCTGCTGAACAACATTGTCACTTGTAAACGTGTTAGCATGCTGACGTTAGCGTGTAGCTCAAAGAACTGTGTCCTCACAGAGCTGCTAGTGACTGTATACATCTTGCTCAGATGTCATTTCATAAGGAATGTGTAAACTATATTGACATAAACAAAAACAGGTGCTAATGTCAACATATCCCATGAAAAGACACATGAATGTATGAATGAACCAATGAATTGATCCAAGTATTGTCTGTTATGTAACTTCCTCTGTGTCATAGAGCTCCATTGTATGTGAAAACATATCATTGAAGCACAGGTGATATGTTACTTCATAAACTGCCCTGCTGCTGGAAACATGAAGGATTTACACCTTCAATAGGATTCAATGGTCTCAGGGCCACATACCGGCTTGAGAAGTGGTACAGTATTGAGAGGTAGACAACAAAAATATATAGCTTTATTCTTGAATAGATTGATAATACCCTAGGGTTTACTTTATTACATACAAGAACACATACCGGCGTGTTGTGCAGATGTCCGTGCAGGGCAGGGAGCGGGCTCGTCCGGTGGAATGCGTTTTCCTGTTCAATGGTTTGCCACTGCTGTGTTAATGTGTGAAAGGACGAATGTGGCATGTAGTATAAAAGCGCTTTGAGTGGTCAGAAGACTAGAAAGGTGCTATACAAGTACAGGTCCATTTACCAATTACCATATAATTAATTATATGGCAGACTAGAGGTGCCAATATTAAAATGGAACAATGTGATGAATTTGTTCATAATATAGGACGAGTTTAAATTAAAAAGAAAACTCAGATGATGGGCATACAAGGCAGTGGCTCTTTCCCCAGATTGATGCGTTTCAGTTTACTTGATATTAAATCCTGCCAGGAGCTTTAATGGTCGACCTTTGACTTTAATTCAGAATTAAACTTCATATTAAAGTTTACATGAAACATGAAAATAAAAGCTGAATTATTCAAATTATTCAATGTTAATGTTGGTAGCTTTGGACATTTCCTGTGAGAGCAAAAATGTATTCTGAGACTGTCCTATTGACAACCTTAGAAAACTCAAGCAGGCAAAGCTGCTTACGTGTAATTTCTTGAAAACGGAAGTGGGCAAGAGTAAGTGCTTTTCTTTACCGAATCAGTTGGCAGATTACACCTATCAACATGTTAAATCTTGAAGCTTTACAGAAACCACAAAACTGACAGACGTATTTAGCGGTAATGTGTGTGAAGGTGCAGCAGGTTTGACGTAGAATCTGAATTAGAAATTCTTCTTTCATACAGAAGAAAATGGCCTTCGAAAGACAAAAGCATGAGTCACTTTAATTGTTTTTTAATACAGTGGGTAGAGGACAAAGGGTACATTATGACAGTGACATGCACTCAAGACTTTCACAGATACACATAAATAAGGCGAACAAAATACATGAAACATATGAGCCATTTACACAGAACATGTCACTGGTCATCTTTATAATGCGGTTGGCTCCTTTTGAAGATTTGAGTCAGCAGCCTCAAGCGATCACTGCTGAACAAAACCTTAAAAAGAATAGCACCCTTTTTATAAAAGTTGCAATTCAATAAAACAAATTTGCTACTGATGGCTCAAAATTGAGTGTGTGATAAACTTTCTTCCTCACGAGGAGGCTGCAGCAGAGAGCAGGCACTTGCTGTTTCGGTCAATGAAATGTCCACGTGACCGATTGCTGTCCCAGCTCTG